CGTCTTGTATAAATATTATTAAACATCAAAGTGAAATTTATGTGAACATGTGCAAATACAGCCCCACAGGATTGGGTCATTTGTTTTGTTTCTTGTTTTTTTGCTTTTTTTTGGTGACGGGTGAGTGGGGGTGGATTTTGCCGTGTGGGACTGTTATTATAATAGTGATTCATAAATTATTTGATTTTGTACTAGGTCAAGCACTGCATTATTAGTAAGAGTATACAATTCAAAATCATTTATGCTGAGTGTACAGAAGCCTCACATTTAAGGTGGGCCCCATATAATTATTTTATTGTAAAAAAACCACCCCAGTCCCACCCCACCCCCAGCTGAGTGTTTTCTGTAAGGCTTCTGTACAGCCTTTATCTGTACGTATATCATAGTTCGTTCAAAATTCTCAATTTATTCAAAAAAGTTGTTACAATGATTGATGTGTCTAAAAAAAAGGTTGTTTACTGTTGGGTGGAAATTTTGGTAGGTAAGAAATATGGATGGAATTAAAGTTCAAAAGGAAAAATAATTAATCCACTTTTGATTTAACTAAAAATTAAATTTTCAATAAAAAATGATAAAAGTTGATGGTATACGTGGGTTAGGAGTTATGAATCTCATGAAATGTATACTAAAATTTAATTATTGACAATAACTCAAATTTTAAGGCTAAATGATCTCAAAGTCGTGAAGGCATTGAAAATTATATGAAATTTTCTCATATTTAGATATGAGAATTTGAGAGACATCGTGCTGAGGTCTGATCAAAATCAATTGATTTTGACACATGATCTGATGGGATTGGCGGCTAACAATTTCAATAAAGTTTATGTTTTAATAGACCGACAAAAAAATATACGATCAAGCACAAATCTAATCACTATTGTCTTTTTCCCAAGTGAAGGTAGCATTTGTGTTTGTTTTGATCTCGGATAAAATTTGTTCTATCAATCAGCTCGTTGATAAAAGGCATAGAGATTGTTGGAAGCTCCAATACATTTGCTTCGATAAATGGTCAAATTCTATCCACGTGAGAGATGGGGAAGTGGACTTTGATAGTCGACAAGCATGAGCCATAGCTAATACCATAGAATTCGGCATCCTCATTCATGGAAAGGCACAATTGTCCAATTTTCAATCCCATTTAGCCACCATCCCTAGCGATCACCATAACCAGCAAGGCTAGTGTTGCCTTAGATTCACGTGAATTCACTGCCTCATTTCACACTTCAAAAACATGATAAGCCCTTAATAAGTTATTTAACAGAATAAAAATATAACGAACAACAAATATTAGAATCGGGATTCAACCAATAAATAGAGAAAGGAACAGTCGTGTGGAAACATGAATAGGAGTTGAAGAAAAATTGAAAAGTTAGAAAGAAATTACTTTTTATCTCCGAATTTAATTTCTCTAGTAACTTTTCCTTTTTAACCAATACTTCGTTCAAACGTGTGAACTACACGACTTTTATCTTGTTTTAGACAACTACTTCATTAAAGATAGTTCTTGCACATACAGAAAGAATAAAAAGAAATAATAATAAAAAAAATCTATTTTTGGCATTTTCAAAGAATTTGTGCTATTTATTCTTGAATTTTAAAATAATAAACTAACAATATTTGTTTGTTTTAGAAATGTAGATTATACATTAAAGGACAAAAACGTCATACTCAAAGATCTCTCGAATAAATTCTTCTTTGTTGTATTCTAAATGCAAAACTCCTCCTCACTTCACTATCTTTTGAAGAGAATTTTGCTTTTATATCTAATGACTTCATCCAACTATATGAAAATTTGTTGATTTTTACAACGGTTTGTATAGTCGATAATTTTTAATATTCTTGAAACTCACATAGAAACAATTTTTGTCACTAGATGAGTTAATCATATTCCCTTTTTTTGAAAGAACCCCCCCCCCCCCCCCGTCCCCCAAAATAAATAAATAAATCCGTGATTAAAATTATTGTTAGATCAAACTCTAAATAGGGATTGCAACATTTCTCGCTCCTAGCCCGCCCTGGCTTACCCTCGGCCTTAAGCAAAACGGGATTCCCCACCCCATTTGGGGAAGCGGAGCATCCTATTTCTTATTTTTATCTTTTATTTTATGATTTTGGAATTTAATTCATAAGAAAAATAAATGAATAACGGGAATATTTTACTCCCTAAATCTCCAACCGATATTTCATACAAAAACTCTTCTCTATTTTTTGATTTTGATTTTCGCAATCAAATGAGAAGAATGAATATTCAAATCTAACTTTACATCAATTTTTTATTCATCTCGTGAAAAAAATGGGCTTTGTTTGTTCTTTTCCTTGATAAAAAGTAGTGGGTCAATTATTAAAAAAAGACTTATCTTTTAACGATGTCTGGATAGAAACATCTTCATATTCGAAATAATGTTAATAAATAAGAACCTTTTTCCATAGTGGGAGAGAGGGCTGTCATGTTGCCATCCCTATCTCTAAATAGTAAATACTAAATAGCAAAACATTTCAACTTATAATTAGCAATCTATGATTCTATAATCCATAAAAAAGGAGACATTAAGTGTACATCACTTTTTGTACATTATCGTTCACAGTCCTCTCACGAGAACGGAATCTGTAACTATTTTAATCATGGGCTCCACTCCTTGTATGTGAGAGGACTGTAAACAAAGTTATCCAAATTATTGTAATTGTAACACTTCTCCCACCAAAATATGGCAAATTATTAAGAGAAAAAAGCTTTTATGACTTACAATAATCTAAAACTAGTAGCTTAATTTATATAAATCCATTTTGGAAAATGGAATATACAACTTTTGCTAACATAATTTATCCTTTAGGACATAAATTTGGCTACTGATCTATTTTTAAATAAGCTTAAAAGAAATCAAAACGGTGTCGAATTTTCCCTAAAAAGAATCATTAATGAGAAATGTTTATCATTATATTGACCATAATAAAATAGATTTTTAAATTTCATTAATCAAAATTTACAACTCATTGCCAGCACAGTATCAAAATCCACCTGCATATTGAACAAGTATCAAACTTTCTTCTTGAAAAAAAAAATAAAAATAAAAAAAAGAACCAATGGGGTGGCCGAGTTGTTGGAATAGGTGAGCGTGGAGGCTTTTGGTCACGAGTTCGATTCCCCCTACTAATACTTTCTCGATCGAGCCTGTAGCACAGGGCATACCTAGTGTGGTTTACTTAACGGCGTGGTTTGCAGACTATTGCGTCAATTTAAAGGTTTACTCAGTGTGCACTCGAAGGGAAGCAGCCGTGGGTTCCCCGTCTTAAAAAATAAAATAAAAAGGTATCAAACGTTCTTGTCAAGGGGAAATATTAACAAAACCAATTGATCATGACTTTCAATTGCTTATTTCAAGGATTGTAATGTTAGTAAACGAAAATTAATATGTTTATATATTTCATGTGTCCTTCTACGTTTGGATCGATTTTTGATTTCTCATAAAAAAGCCAATAATTGAGATTTTTTTTTTTTTTTTTTTATCATTGACGATCGTAAAATTTGAAATATCTTCATATATTGGGAAAAAAGGAACAAATACAATAAAGGAAAATTTTCTCTAATAAAGTTCTCTATTTTTCTCAGCGTGTTATAATAAGAACACATTATAGTTTTCAATAAATTTGAAGTGTACAAAAATACATATTGAAAAAATTAAATTAAAGATTCCAAATTGTGCTTTCATGATCTACTTTTAGTTGTGGGTCGAAACATGTATTGCTTTTTCTTATCCAAAGATATCAACGTATTATTCAATGGTTCCATGACATCAAAGCAATGACGTTCTCTCTCTCTCTCTCTCTCTCTCTATATATATATATATATAAAAGAGAGAGCGAGCGTCATTGCTTTGATGTCATGGTATATATATATTATGCTCTTATTTGGTTGAAATTCAAATTTTATTTAAATCAAAGTGAACAATTCATTTTAATCCTATATTTTATAGGATTTACAATTTTTCAATCATATATTTAATCAATTTTTATCAAACCACAAAAAATCTGATTTAATTTCCACCAAACAAATATGAAAATTGATCTTTTAATTTTTGAGATCTACCATGAACTTATTCACTAATTAATTGGTATACCACGTCATCAGATCAATTTTTATTATATAATAATATGTATGTTGCCACCATTTGATTTCAGTAAAGATTAAATTTTTAACATATTTCGATAAAAGTTGATGAAATGTATAGTTAAAAAATTGATTAAATTATAGTTCATATAAAAAAGAATTGTAATATATTTTAGTTAGTATATTAATTGTTGATTTTCACTAAAAAGATTTAATTAAACGGAAAAAGACATTTATATGTTTGGTGTGTCACGCGTTAATAATATACCAACGCGGAAGCGAGTTTGAAAATTCTTAGGGTGCTTCCTCTTCCTTCAATTATTGACTTTCGGACATTTATTCTAATTTCATAGAAACTTCTATGCCTTCATCACGTTTCTTCGTCGTCCAAACATATCTACATATTTGTTTTCAATATAAAATTTTAATAAATAATTGTATCATTTTCAAGAACTTAGAAGTTATATGAATTTTTTGTACTATTTTATTCAATTCATGACTATTATGTATCGATAAGTTTATGAATTTCTTGAAAAGATTTTGGAAAATGTTAATAAATGAATAAATTCAAGGAAATATAAAAGATTTGCACTAATCACATTTAGCGTACGTTTTATAAGGTTATTGAAAAGTCAAAAAATATTTCTGCGATAGATAAACTATTTTTATAGAGCTTTTAGAGGAGATTGGATCAATGTGACTTTTTATAGAAGCTCTTTTGAAAGAGAGGTTTTTTAAAAATTATTTTTTGAACACTATTTAAGATAATTTCATCAAAAAATTCTATAATAAATAAAAATAAAAACAAAAACATAGGTTTTGCCAAACAAGTTTGAAATTAGGCCACTTTGAAATGGTCAGCAACTGGGAATTACAATCTCTTCCCGTTCTAAAACTCGGATAATTTCCTATGATCATTGGAGAGAAATCCAAGACTCCTTTACCCAGTCAAAAATCTCCTCTTTTCCACACAACTTTTCTTCTTTTTATTCCCCCCTCTTTCCTCGCCACTGCTTCACTAAACACACCTTTATATATCAGTTGCTGAAAAAAAAGAACTTCACTTTTCTCTGCCACACTCTCCAAGCTTGAGTTTCTAGCATAGGGGTTTTTCAGATTAGAATTCTCCGCTTTTTGAAGCCATTTTTTATCATTAAAACAACTAAACCAGATGCCCCCTTTTTCATTAGAATTTTCTGTTCTGGGTATGTGGAAATTTTCTCTGTTTCTAGCATCGGTTTTAAATTGGAATTTTCCCTTTTGAGCCATTTTTTTATCATTAAAGCTACTGATTCAGATACCCTTTTGGCCATTTGAGCTCATTTTTGGTTGCTTTCTGATTCTGAAACTTAATTTTATCTTAACCTCTGATTTTTATCATCTGGGCATGATCTTGATTTAAATCACTTATATCCCTTTTATCAAATTGTATGTTCTTTGCCTTAATTAGCTCTCCACAATTCAAGCACCACCTTTGCAGTCCTTTTTGCACCTAAAGAAATGGAAAAAATTGGTACTTTGAAACGCAAGACTGTTATCAGTGAGTTAACTCAAGGTAGGGAACTGGCAAACCAGCTTAAAAACCAAATTTATCCGGCAAATTCGCGCGAGGCCTGCGGTTCTTTAGTGGAGAAAATACTTTCTTCCTATGAAAAAGCTCTTTCATTGCTAAATTGTATGGCTGTTTTGGGAGAAACTTCGCCAGTTTCTGCTGCCATTTTGGAGTCACGTAATTCCCTTGTTGGTACACCTACCAGTGAAGGCTCCAACCCTTTCTCTAAGGAGCAAAACCAAAGAGAGGTATTCAAGAGAAGGTATATTTTAAGACCATTTATTACCAATTTTGAGATGTTCGGTTAAATTTAAAAACCAGTAAAAGTTTGTTTTAAAAAGTTACTTTTTCTGTTTTTCAGATAACTTTTAAGCTTAGCCAAACATGGGTTCTTGTAGTTGGATAAACTGATCTTAATTCATTTGGGTTATTCTTTTGAATTTACAGAAAGATATTGCCAAAATGGAGTGAAGAAGTTCGTGTTTGCTCTGTGATTGGACAGGAAGGTCCTCCTGATGATGGATATAATTGGAGAAAATATGGGCAGAAAGATATTTTAGGTGCTAGTTTTCCAAGGTGAGGATTTTATGTTTTTATCTTGTGTAGAAGTAGCCTCTTGTTTGTGTTTTTTCGCTCATATCTAAAAAAAAAAAAAAAATTTAATTGTGTTCATTGTCTAGTGTAATCTGGTCCAGCACCAAAACATGCCTGAATAGTATCTGTCCCTTACTGTACCGAGTCTAATAACTCGGTAATTCATGATCATAACATGATGATGTAAAATTTAAGAGTTCATTGAACTAGTGGGAGGAAAAACTCGAGGAAGGTGGGATTTAAGAATAGTCTAACGGTCTGAGGATTTGACTTTGAGGTTGAGACTTGAGTTGTTGTCCACAAAAGTCACTCGAATGTTTCTGCCTTCTGACTTCTCAATGAATTTGTAATTCACTCACCTGTTTTGCCTTTAACTCACTCTTAAATACACTGTTCTTGAACTTACCAAGTTGAAGTATTGTCACTTTCCTCATGACTTATGGTAGATATGAGTTAAATACCTCGGGAACAAAGAATGGACAAAAAAATTAGATGTCGATATCGCACTCGATATATTAAACAACTAGACAGCCAACATATCAACTGTTGTTACCCTTGTTGTCAATTTTCGTTTCTTGAAGATTAACATATATCTTGTAAACTATGTTCGATATGTATGGTGTGAAAGGCCTCTTACCATTTCATACATATTAAGGAAATTCAGAGTCATCCGGTCCAAATCTAATCGGGGGTATGTTATTACAGGGCATATTACAGATGCACTCATCGCCATACACAAGGATGTTTGGCCACGAAACAAGTCCAGAAAATAGACGAAGACCCCTCAACATTTGAGGTCAACTATAGAGGAAGGCACACTTGTATTCAAGAAAGGCTAAAACAGAACAAAGAAGATTATAATATAAAGGAAGAAGACAGCAATCATAGACCAGGGATTAAAGTTGAAACTCCAGATTCGACTCCTAAGGAGGAAATAGTTCCTTCCTTCTCCTTTCCTTCGACCCCAATTATATCAGACAATGTGGAAACTGAATTCCTTTTAGAGCCTGCCAAGGAAAGCAATTTCACAGAAAGTTATGGGTATCCGTTTATATCCCCGGCAACATCTGACTGTAACTATTTGTCAGAATCACTGTGCCAGATGAACGATTTCTGCGTGGATTACAACTTGCAAAGCTCAGAATCAGATTTTACTAATATCGTTCTGACTCCAACTTCAGCCACCAATTCCCTGTTCAGAGACTGGGATTTCACAACTGATCCAGTGGAGTTCGATTCTAGTTTCGCCCTTGAGTACTTTTGACTTCATATCACAGGTTCATTAACTCAGCAAAGAGCATGAATGGTGGCCAGGAGTCAAATATTTGCTGCAATAAATTGCTTCTGTACCTGTTGATCCCATCCTGCACTTAGATGAAATATGTTTATATAAGTAGGTAGATAATTACAACGGCTTGGGAAATTTGAGTTTCCTACGGTGCAAGTATTGGAAAAATAGGATTTAATTAGTGTGTATTGACAAGAATATGATGCTTTTAATAGAATAATAAAAACATGGTTTTGATTTAGGAATAACCCTTATAGCATGCTTTACAAAAAATCCTTTTGCTTTAATCTTCTTGATTCTCGCATCAAACCTTTAGTCTGCTATGATCTTCAAGAATTCATTTTATGTGTTTAGACACAATAATAAAAAATCTTAATCGAACCTCGATATATATACATATTTATAATATGGACATAATTTGGATATGGTAAATGTGACACTTTTTCATCCAATTAATTAATAAATTTCATGACGGTCAATAGTAAATGTTTCAATTTTTATTTTGAAGCCACCGAAGGAACCTAATCCGATTTAGTTAAACCAAACTCCAATAAATTAATCTTGACCCGATCAACTCTTGATTAATCGGCATAATTTATTAATCTAGTTCTATAATATTCTACTAAAAGAATGAGTTTACACTCTCATTCCAATTGAAATTATCTAAGTTATATACAAGGCACCAAGACATTTACCAATAATTTGATCTTACTCATTGATACCTCAAAGAACTTCAATTTAGTAATCCAAGTCCATTAACCAGTCAGGATTAAGGTGCTATATATAACAGTCATGTGAAACCGAATTAGGTTTCAATCCAATACATTCAAAGATGTACACTCAATCTTTATAATTAAGTAAAAAATGAACTTTAATAAAATTGAGATAATCTCATCACAGTCAAGCGTACATCTTTGGACAATAAAAATTACTTGATTTATAGCATTAAATCAATCCATGAACAAATGCAAGATCAAATTAATCCAAAAATAAAACAATATTTATTTCAAAATATCACAAACACATAAAAATTAACTCAACGTGCAAAAAATTATCAAACAGTAAGCCAAGTGAGTTTTACTTGCATAAATAGATAATCTGGAATCATTCTGTTTTTGCTTATTTTAACAACTTACAAGCTTTTCGAAACCAAAAACATTGCATGCTTTGGTTCTGAAATCATTATTTTTCCCAAGTAAATGTTCGACAACTGAACTTTTTAATAGATTTTGAGCAACAAAGTTTAATCTTAAATAAATTTCTGGGGTATGATTCCCGCCCTCCTGGCACAGTGAAGACTGCCCTCTACTGTTTTCTCAAGATCATATCTGTACTGGAATCCCATTTCTTCCAGCTTCTTTGAGCCCCAACTAGTATCTCTCTTTGTATCTTCAATGAACCTGAAATAAAATGTAAAAATCAAACTTTTGTAATTCTCAATGCAATCTCTATACCAATTAGAATTGGGAATTTGTAGTGGCTCAATGCCGTCAACGTCTGGTGAAGCCTTGTCTTAGCCTCCTAATATCCATGTACAAAGGTACTATTTGTCAGGTGATCTCGAGCCTTCTTAATTCAAAAAGTTAGTTTAGTGAGACTTTCCCTCACATTTGTAAACTGTCCATCGGCACCTTCCACAATAGATATGGCATAACCTCAACTCAACAATCCCCCTCACACATCGAGTCCTGGGTGGGTCAAACTCGTATCTGCCATGGACTATTGGGAAGAGACTTGTTAATAACCTGAAATCTGATACCAGTGTTGGATGGTATTAGGAGTTTTCAAGAGGTGAGGCTTTCCCTCGCTTATAAATTGTCCACCAACCCTTTCCACAATCGATGTGAGATAACATCAACAGTATTTGGTAGAGACAAGATTTCCAGGCAAAAGTTATGCCAAACTTCAGTTGGGGTTAAAGAACTAAAGATTTGAAGCCTTGACAAAAGAAAATACCACGAAAAAATTTGAAATTCTTACTCTTGAGAGATTCTGATTTCTGGGTAACATTTCTGGACATGAGACGCAATATCAGCAGTTTTTAGGAAATCGCTGGTGCATAGGAATCTTCCATTGATATGTGGATTCTCCATGCAGAAGATATGGGCTTCAGCCGCATCTTGGATATGCAATACTGGTAATTTTCCCAGCAATTCCTCCAAAAACCTCAGAATTCGATACCTTGTACTGTCATTTGTGAGTTGTGCTATGAGGACACCCATGCTTTCAGCTATATACGATTGAACAGTATCCCCTCCCACAAGACCACAAACAAGACTTACTACCTCTATACCCTTACCATTGAAACTCAACACTTCTTTTTCCGCCAATGTCTTGGAAGATACATAATCCTGAAATATCAGAGACGAATTCATTGAACTTTTACAAGAATATATCACGTCCGGATAGACTGGTGAGTGGTGACTTTTCTTTCTTTTTGAAGTGAAAAGATAAATTTCATTAAGTTAGCTCGTAGGCCACCTCACGAGGAATATAGAGATAAGGGCGACAGCGAAATAAGTTGCTTTTTACTGTGTGTTAAAAACAAGATATGAGTTATATAACATCCAAGAGAAATAGACCACAACCAAGAGATTATAAACATACACGGAGAAATTCATTGCTATAAGAGAATGAGAGATTAAGAGGAGTCCAACAAGTTTCGTCCAATGAATCCTTAAAGCCAGAGCCATCGTTGTTTAGTGTTGACGCGGCTACCACAGAGCCAGTGTAGATGAGTCTCTTCACCGTTTCTGATCTTATGCAGGACTGCACAATGCTCTTCACCCCTGCTGCTGCGGCCTCAGAAATATTTTTGTACTGCATAAAAAGCAATGATTTGAAGAATTCAATAAGAACTGAGCTCCAAAGAGATCAGAAAAGTAGCTCGATCAGTGGATTGTGACTTTGATTAAATGGAAGATTCAAACCTGAGAGTTGTGTGTGTTGTGTTGAAACGGAGTTGCCAAATGGAAAACAACTTGACAGCCTTGAATTGCAAATGCGAACTTATCAGGATCATATATATCGGCCTCGAACAATTTTAGCCTTGTTTCAGCATGAGGAAGACCATTGAGAAGCTGCACTTTTGAGGGTTCACCTGGAGTTCAATTTTTACAGAAATCAAGTGACATCTGAGAGAAATGTTTGATCCATCATATATGTTTAGAACTATGAACCCAAGCTAATTTCACGGACACTATATAACTTTTTTTGTAAAAGTTCTCTCATTTCCATTACCGTCAGTTGGTGCCGATCTAATCACTTAGGCCATCTCCTGAGCACCAAAACATCAAAATGCACCATTTTTTGGTGCAAATGAGCTCCAATGCAACACTATACTTTGTACCATTTTGATGCAAAGTGTATAAAGTCTTTTTTGCCCTCTTTTATTCTTTTCCAAATAAACTGGTTAAAGGTATTTGTGTAATTTGTGCTATATATTTTTTAATACAATAAATTATTATTATTATTAATTGCATTTAAAATAAATTTTAAATGTAAGAAATAATAATTAATGAATTAATTAGAAGAAGAAAAAAATTTAAAATATAATAGAAGTTATTATTTATTAAAGTTAACACAAAATATATTAAACAATGACGTACATGCAATAATCTAATTTTAATTAAATTGCAAAAAATTTTGTGACTTTGTAATATCGTAATATCCAAATTCGAAATGCATTATACTATTTTGTGATCGCATCATTTAATATTTTCGTTTTTGTAGTGTTTTTATTAATTGTACTATATTTTTTATATTTATTAATGAATTTAATATTTTCCATAATTTAAGGTAATTATTTATTTAGTAATTTATGTATTTGTAAAATAATTAAATAAATAATATTTCAAATAAATAAATTATATAAAAAATAAAAAATGGGAAAAAATGGCTAAACACTGTTCATTTGGTGTAAGTTTTAGTGTAATAATTGGAGATAAATTTTAGTTTGGTGCAAAATCTAATACAGCGTCAGAGATGGCCTTAGAGCATCTCCAACCATTGCACCAAATTTTGGTGCAAACTTCCTCCAACCATTGCACCAAATTTTGGTGCAAAAAATGGTGTAATGAATAGTGTTGCACCAAATATGGTGCAACACTATTCATGTTGCACCATTTTGGCTATTCATGTGCAATGTCCATTTTGCCCTTATTTTTCTTTTTTCAAAGATAATGGTTAAGGGCATTTGTGTCATTTTCATTCTATAATAATACTGCACCATTTTGCACCAAATGGTGCAATGTCCATTTTGCCCTTATTTTTCTTTTTTCAAAGATAATGGTTAAGGGCATATGTGTCATTTTCATTCTATAATAATAATGATAATGATAATGATGATAATAATAATAATTACTTAATTAATTACACTATTAATTATATTATTAAGGTTTATTATTTTTAATAATATAATTAATAATAATTAACGTAATTGTTAATTTAACGTAAAGTTAAATTCGTAAAGTTTACGTTTAAAATTAAATTTAATGTAAAGTTTATATTATTAAAGTTTATTATTTTTGTAAATTTAACGTAATTGTTTATCATAAATTAATAATATAATCAATTGTTTTTATCAATTTAACATAATATATATGACATGTGATAGTATAGTAATCAATATATTTTTTAATTTAATGAAGTTATGATTTCGTAATATATATATATATAGTTATAAAATAAATAAATAATATTTTAAAATAAATATATTGTCAAAAATCGAAAGAATGAATAAAATAATAAATTACTGTTCATTTGGTGTAATGGTTGGAGAAGAATTTTGGTTTGGTACAAGATTTAGTGTAAAATTTGGTGCAAAATGGTGCAAAATTTGGTGCAGGGTTGGAGATGGCCTTAGTTGTACCAATCAAACCTCACATCTCATTGCAATCAATATTCCCAAGCAGGGCCAGTGACAAGGACTTTTTACAGGTGGTATCAACGCAACATCTTTATAAGTGTTTTTTTAATTATCTTATGAAATGCTGCCACGTGTCCTCCTGTATTTTAACTCTATCACTGACCTTGTCTTTGTAGCATGGTTGTATATAGTAATCCTCATGTAAAGATACACGTAATCATTGAGACATACAAGAATGTCTATCCTGATCGGAACTTCTTAATTATTGGGATCTCTAAACACTTTCGCACCATTTTTTTTTCTTCCCATGGCCGACACCAATGTCATCCTCACACCAATCCAAGTTATCTGTGATCTCACTTCACCCTATTCTTGATTGACGCTGACATCTCCAAA